ATTGATTTATTTGACACAGAGAGAGAGACAGCTAGAGAGGGAACACAAGCAGGGGGAGCGGGAGAGGGAGAAGCAGGCTTCCCGCTGAGCAGGGAGCCCGATGCGGGGCTCGATGCGGGGCTCGATCCCAGGATGCTGGGATCATGACCTGAGCCAAAGGCAGACGCCTAACGACTGAGCCACCCAGGCGCCCCAAGTATAATTAATTTTTAGGAGCCTAACAATTCAACTCCAATGTGGCTGTTCTGATGGTGGAAACCAAAGGAAGAATTCAGCATGATCCTCTGAAGTAAAACAAAAAATTTAAGCAAACCAATAAAAGCTTAAGTAAATAGTATAGAAATATATGGCCTAAAAAGTGAATTAGCATCAGTCAGGAAAGCAATAGTGGAATTGAGCCAAAATCATGAGAACTGTAACTTTTTTTCTCTGGGACTAATACTAGCTGTCATCACATTTCTAGATCATTCAATCACATAATATGTAGTGTCCATCTATACAGACAACTAAAAATAAGTTGCTTGCAGTTCATATTTGAGTGACTTCTATTACCTCTGTTCACCACAATCAGAATTTTTAAATGCTCTTTTTATATGCTGACGTCAACATCTTGCTAACTAGGGAAGTTAATAGGGCAGTTGGTGAAGGAGACAAAAAAAAGTAACATCATACTTAGTAACAAACGTCCACACATATAGAAAAGAAAACGGGAGGGGCGCCTGGGTGGCTCAGTTGGTTAAGTGTCGGATTCTTGATTTCGGCTCAGGGTCATGAAATGGAGGCCCGAGGTCGAGTCTGAGGAGATTTTCTTTCTCCCTCCCCCACCTGTGGCCCCACACCCTTCGTGGGAGCTCTCTCTCAAAAAAAAGGAAACAGGAAAGGCCTAAAGCCTATACCGTATGGTAAACATACTATACGTGAAGGCGACTGGTGCCCTGCTGAAGTACACCCGTCATGTTCTAGTGATTCTGAACAGACAGTATTATGCATCTTTCTGCAGAGGCTTCGCTTTAGTCATTTGAACATTGTTATCCCTTCCAAGTCTCCTAATGGAACTCTTTTCATTGTTTTATTATGAAAAATTTCAAACATGCAGAAAAGTTGAAATAATAGTAACCTACCATCTCAATTCCACAATATTGACCTGTCTTTGAAATACTCTTATTTAACTAAAATCTAGAACAGCAAGATTTCTGTATATTTTTCAACAGTTTTTCATCACCAGCTTACCAAACACGGGAGACACAATAAATATTTGTTAAAAGAGAAAACACTAATAATTGCAGCTTAACCTATTTCTGGCAATATATAAAAGATAATCTGAATATATAAAAGATATTCAGCCTCCCTTAACTCTGTATCTTTAACTGATTATTGAAAGCCTACTATGTGCCAGATAGGATGTTAAATAGCAGAAGATTATTAAGATAGAGTTCTGGTCTCCAGGAGCTCACAGTCTCCAGAGAGAGGCAGATAGATAAAGAAATCTATGCAGCAAAATGTGACTGAAAACTGCAGGGAGGGTCCGTCCAGTGGAGGAACCAGCTTGCTCTTGAAGATGAGTGATGCTATCATAAAAGGACAGCATGTATGGCCCAGGGCCTAAAATAAGTAGAATTTTGTCTGATAGAGAAGGTTTTCCATGCAAAACCTGAGCTATATAAACAGCACACCACTGGTCCGGGAAAATGGCTAGAGTATAGGTTAATTGTTTTCAAGCAGGAAGGTGATACCTGATTGGTTTTTAGAGAGAGAATTCAGCCAGGAGAAGAGTAGTTGCGGCTGCAGACAAGGGATCAAGGGCAAGAGTGCCTCACCTCTTTTACAGCCCTGAGAGTAGATCCACTTTGTTTCTGAGTGTGTACTACATACCACACCAGTGATACCACATGCAAGATAATAGTCCCTGTATCACTGAGCTGATAGTCTCATACCATCCATCTGCTTACAGTTCTGCAACCAATTATCTTTTATGATTCCCTCTGATTTCTCCCCTGTTAGTCTATCAAACTGCATTCTAAGACTAGGAAGCTGTTGAATTAGTTCTTCCCCCAAGATCAGATGAGAACCTAAAGAAATTTCTCTAGAGATAAAAATGAGAAAAGAAACCATATCCTGCTTTGTCTGTATCTCCCTAGTAGCTGATACAATGTTGAAATATCATAAGCTTTCAATAATTTGATGAATCATTGAGATATTTAGGAAGTAAAATGAACAGGAATAGGTAATCTGTAGGATGTGGTGGGTATGAAAAATGGGGATGGCGCAAGTGGCTCCATGGTTGCCTGGTTGTAGGTGACCAGGTAGATGGCAGTGTCACCTGAGATAGGAAGCTCCAGAGGATGAATGAGCTTGGGGGAGAGGAGGGAATTTGAGTTCATTTCTGACACTAAGTTGGAGTTGTCAGTTATGCAGTTGAAGTGCTTCCTAATCTTCAAAATCTTTATATATAATCTAGTTGAACTTTTGATTCACAGAGGCAAGAACACGACCAGAACTGTTCCAATGTTGAAAAATAAATTGGCTAGCCCGGTAGCCAAAATGTATCATGTTTGGAAAATTCTTTATTCAGAGTGTGTTTCCCTAAATATATACGGTTTGGAACCTATCCCCTTTTTGATGTATTTTAAGTTGATTCATGTAGCATAAAAAGAACAAAGAAATGATAACTAATAAATTCTGTCCATAATATTAGAGAACTTAGAAGGACATACGATAGAGGTAATGAGGTGGGGGTGGGGGTGGGGGGGCAGGTAGATAACAACAACAAAAAACTGGACCAGAAAGGAGGTGATACCATGTGAGGAATTTTAAAGCTCTTTTATTTATTTGAATAATACAGTGGGTTTTCTTTTGGTTTGTTTGGTATTGATGTTTTGGGTTGTTTCTTTGGCTGTAATCTACTTTCATTTAGAATTGTATTTTTATATATAGTCTTATTTAACAACCTGAATACATTCTTACAATAATGCAAGTTTTCATATGGGAACTATATACTTAATATATTATTAATAAAATAACCAGTTAAATAAATTTGATTCCCCTGCTATTTAAAAGTTCATTTGCCTCTTCGTTGGGTTCTATGATAAACAACTTTAAATTCTTCTTTTCACAGTGTAGAAATAACCATGTATATGCCTCTTTTGCCTTTTTTATGGCTAATTTCCTTTAATTCTTTTGTGCAGAAACGAACAGGAATGTTTTATAAGAAGTTAGTGTTACAACAATTCTGAGTTTTTCAAATTACAAGTCATGTAAAAGGCTTAATCGTGCTGCATTTGAAGTACAATTATAAAATGGGTGTTCGTGTGTGGTATTTTGACAACCACCATACGTTTTAAGGAAAAAATAGTATCACTTAAAATATTTTCTTTACCATGTTAGTCTTCAGCAAGCAGAGAAGGGCTTTTCTGAAGTGAGGTTAGACAATGGAGCCAACTTCATTTTTTATGCACGTGAACGGAGAGGGCTTGAGGTTATTAGTTGAAACCGAGTAACCTTTCCAGGCTTTCATCTCTTTCTTTTCAAATTTGAATATGAAAAGCATATTCAAGTCAAAGACCATCACTTTAATGACATTTGGCAGTCATTTGATTTATTAGGTTTTAGAAAAAATTTTCCTTTAAATATTTCATCATACTATGCTAATCCTAGTAATATTGCCAGCTGCAGCCTTGTACCTGTATTAGTGGAGACAGAATGGTGTGGAATTTTCTCTGTCATCCTAGTAAAATTTCCATGAATCTACTGAATAATAAAATAACCTTATTGAAATATTCAGATTTGGGTTTTTAGTTAAAGTGTCTTAGAATACATAATAAAAGAAAATGTCTTTTGAAAGAATGGGGTAAAATTATTTCATCAAATATTGAGGGGGTTTGACATCAATAGAAATAGTTCTTTATGGGGATATTTTTACAATAAGATAGTTATGCTTTTCAGTTTGATTAATTATATTACATGCTTTGAAATATCTAAGTAATCACTGTGTTGAATTTGCACACTGATTTATGTTTGACAGTAAGTTCCTAAAAGTTGGTCTTATAGACAGGTCTTAGTTTCAGGATTTTCTAATTATTATTTGAAATTATATAATTTACAGTAGCATGCATCTGAATTTAGTAAGGAGGGATTTAGGAAAAGGGAATGAAGCACAAATTTAAAATGGTAAAAACAAATATTTAAGCGAGGAGTTGTCTTGGTGTGATCTAATTTTTAAGTCATAGTCTGTTGTTTGTTTTAAATCATTACTCAAGGAAACATATACGGCTTGTTTAATAATGTCTGTGACACCAAAATCTATTAAGTAAGGATTGAAATGAAAATTACACCGTAAAAGAAATATATTTTTAGTTGTTAATTGGGTAAAAATGAGATAAAAAATGAATTCCAAGGAAATGTGTGGTAAATTAGATAACAGTTTTTTTCCTTTTGTTTGAAAACAGTACTTATTGAGTGAAATATGCTATGGCAGAATATATAAGAGGATGAACTATAGTTTCTGCTCTATTAATATGGATTCATATAGCTACATTTATTAGCATAATGGCTATAAAGTATTCAACAGGCTTTGATCTCTGAATAACCGAAACTTTCTCAGGTACTGTAGATTAAATAAAAGCAGTGATAAACATGTACTTCATTACATAGTTTGAAATAAGGCCAACTGATACTTGTCATTCTGAAAGCAATCGGAGATGAAGATCTCATAATCTTCGCCCCTGATAGACTACTAGTGGGGTATTTATAGCCTCAAATGTAAATCAGGAGACTATTGCCATGACACTGTTAACTTCAAACCCTGGGGCATTAGAATCTCATTCTGTCTCTCTCTGTCGTGAATAATCTATCATGTGTAACTATACAGTAGTGTACAATGCGTTCCAAAAAAGAAACCCATTGGCCTTTATGTTTTATTTAAAATTGATAGTGAAAAAGAGGAAAGTTTTTGCTCATTTGTTTTATGTTTCTTTGTTGTTTTTGTTGTTGTTTTTAATCAGCCATCAGAAAAAATTCGGATTGAGATCATAGCTCTAAGCCTTAATGATTCTCGAGTAACTGCAGATGACGCTATCCAGCGGCTGTTCGTTGAATGCAGATTCTACAGTCTTCCTGCTGAAGAGACACCTGTGTCACTTCCAAAACCCAAGAGTGGGCAGTGGGTCTACTATAATTATAGCAATGGTATGTATGGTTCCTTTATAATACAGACTTTCATTTTTGTCTTAATCTGTGAAGGTAGTTGCAGGAACAAGGAAAAAGTATAATTCTCTAATGTTCACATAAAGTCATGGAAGTCTCATCGGAATGGATTAATAAAAGTCAAACCTGTAGCATAAGGATTAAGAAATTAAATTTGAAGTAATACTAAAGAGAAAACAAAAAACGGTAGAAAAACAATGTCTCTCGACATTCCTGCTATATTATAGTATCAGTAGAAAAATGTCACCTAGGTCTACAATGGAATTGAATCAAAAAGTACAATATTTCACAGGGAGGAAAAAGTACTAGCTTTTTAATCATATGATTCACACAATTCAGTGACCTAATTTTTTTCTACCCTTCTGATCAGTGTCAGCACATGGATGTTTTGCAATATACGTATACATCTTTCCCAGTGTCTATATGTTCAGGATTTTAGTTGAGTGACATGAATTCTTAGAATACCTTTTCCTGATTTAGCCCACACGTGCACTGATAGCTGCAGGCCGGTTTTCTCTTTGAGGGCTTTATCTATCAGCTAGTTGACATCTAAGTCAGACCCAACTGGTACCCTGTAAGTTCTTCGATCAGCCAACTTTAAGATGTTTTAAAGAATAGTATATATCAGTGTATAATTAAAGAGGAGTAAAATGTCATATCAAGCTGACATGACCCTATGTTAAAACTGCTTACTAAGTTCTAAAGCCCTATATTAAAACAAACCATGAAGATGGAGTGTTGCATTATCTTTAGCAAAAACAGGCCATCTTATGCGAGTTGAATACTGATATTTTTTCTCACCAGTTTTATAAATGGTATTTTAATCAATATGTGCAATCATGCTATTGATTGTATGTATATCATGCTACTGATCAATCATGCAGTAAGATTACAAATGCTCATGGTTGCTTTGTGTGTGCGTGCATGTGCACACACCTGCTACTTTTGGAAATGTGGTCATTGCTTGAGACAATAATCATGAGTATCCACAAATCTGTTCTAGTCTTCCCTGTATCCACAGTTCTTATTAGTTATGTGAACTTGGGCAAGATGTTTAAATCTCATGGTATCCTGTTTTCTTATCTATTGAATCAGGCGCTCTTTAGATCCCCTCCAGCTCAAATTCTATAATCCTATAATGACAGATAGGTTGAGAAATCACAGGGGAAATAAATAGTGTGATCAGGACAAGAATCTGATTCCTCCTTCCTTTCACTGACTTGATATAACAGAAACATTTCCAAAAATATTTTCTCAAGCTTCCTAGAGATCTTTTACCTGCAAAGTTTCAGAAAAGTAAACCATATCAAAATATTATTACTAATGGAAGAACTAATTAGACAACTAATTATAACGAAGATACCCCAAAAAAAGAGACAAACTCTTCTGGCTTTTGTGTTACTCTTTTTAAAGGTCAGCAGTAGAATGTTTGGTTGGACTGACAACAAAATTGCTTTTTAGAAATTGTACATTGAGAAATTTGGCCTGCTGTACAGCAGATTGTTTTTATTTGCTTAAGAAGCAATGCAAATCATTCTGGGGATGCAACCTGTTAACACATGCTCAAGTGTCCTGAATTTTGTAACGTTCTCACATGGTAACCAAGGGCTCTGGGGGGCTTTTTGTTAGTTGGTTGGCATTTGCTCAGTATATTTTTTCCTTTTACTGCAAGATACCCTATTCTCTAATTGGTATTTTAAGAGTTGCTTATGTTTCTAATGAATAATTAGTCATCTGAATGCAACAAGAAAACCAATAATTTATTAGAAATGAATTCCATGGAAATGTTTACTATACCTTTTCTCCCCTTCTCTTCCTACCTATTGAGATTTGACTATGAGAATTTTAAAGGCTAATTGAAAAGAATTGTAAGGATATTTAAATCCCCTCCTGGTGGGAAGGGAGAGGAATGTATTTTGTGCTTCCAAGCAAAATAATGCTGTTTTTTATCTATTATATCTGAAAAAATGTAGTCTTAGGTCATCAGCAAATTTGAGAAATAATAACCTTGTAGGAGGCTTTATTTTAGTTTTCACTTAATTATAACAGTGAAAATGTTTATTTTTAAATTATCGTATTTGCATCACCTTCAGTGCAGGAGAATCTCCTTGAATCTTTGGTTAATAAGTAACTATCTCATCTAATTATTGTAATAATTTGCCATTCACTTGTGACTTGATGTAAAAGGTCAATATAATGTAGACTTACATCTTCCAAATCTTATTAAATGTTAATGAAAGTAATTTTATTTCCAAACTGACTTTTTAATTCAGATGGAAAATCTAAAGGACAATTAGTACATGCTATCTCCTATCTGAACACCATACCAATTGAGAGGTTGACCAAACCTCACAATGATTTTTACCCTGCATTATGGCTTGAATCTTTTCAAAAGGGATTTGTATCCTGAGGCCTAAATTAGGTACATAAAAAGAGAGGTTTAGTCTAGTGATCCCAACAATTATTTATAGCTTGATTCAGTCTTTATTAAGAGGTGTTAATACCAGTTCCACTTACACAAAAAATGCATCTTCTTTAGGCTGGAAATGCTGGAAAAAATAATGCCGGGGGAAAAAAAAAACAAAGTTGAATTCACTTGCTAGACATTTGTCGCATGAACAAAACATTTGTATTTTATTGGGCCTGAAAATTTTGCCCAGAGAATGCTGAGAAAGCAAGAAAATAGTTTGGAAAAAATAAGATTAATGGTAGGTCTGAAGAATGTTGTCTGGGCTGAATAAAGCCTTCTAGGGAATTGACAGTGGGAAGAAAAAAGATTAATGAAATCATCCAAAGTTTTTATGAGACTTATATGGATCTGGGTCCTTAGTCTCTGAGCACTGAACAGTCTATGTTTTGGAACAATTAACATTTAATTCAGAAGATGAAAATAATACAGAATTTACATTTTGTCACTAATAGGAAGAGAAATTTGGCAAAGATAAGGATTAGGAGGATGATAACACTCCAACAGAAAAAGTTTTTTGAGAAACAGTTTATCAATCCTTTGTAGTTAAGCCATCTGCATTTCTTCTGCCAAATGACACTGATAAAGAATGTAAGGATTTTTCCAAACTGCAGAAGTGAAGGATAGGTTTTTAATGGTAGACAATTCAAAATCAGCCTATGTCTTTGGACTACTATTTTGTACCTTTTTTGAAACATATGCTTTCAGTAAGTTTTGTCAAAATCTAGCAAGTCCTAAACCAGTGATTTCTAATGAAAATAAAAGATAAATGGCGGGGCGCCTGGGTGACTCAGTCATTAATCGTCTGCCTTCGGCTCAGGTCATGATCCCAGAGTCCTGGGATCGAGCCCCGCATCGGGCTCCCTGCTCAGCGGAAAGCCTGCTTCTCCCTCTCCTACTCCCCCTGCTTGTGTTCCCTCTCTCACTGTGTCTCTCTCTGTCAAATAAATAAATAAAATCTTTAAAAAAAAAAAAAAAGATAAATGGCTTAATTTTTAGAGAGTTCTGATACTTTTTAAATCACCAGAATTGCTTTTTAAAAGATCTATTTGAGGGGCGCCTGGGTGGCTCAGTCGTTAAGCGTCTGCCTTCGGCTCAGGTCATGATCCCAGGTCCTGGGATCAAGTCCCACATCGGGCTCCCTGCTCGGCAGGAAGCCTGCTTCTCTCTCTCTCTCTCCCACTCCCCCTGCTTGTGTTCCTGCTCTCGCTATCTCTCTGTCAAATAAATAAATAAAATCTTAAAAAAAAAAAAAAAGATCTATTTGAAGTTTTGAAACTGTAGATTTTTTTTTAACCATCTAGTTCCGAACACCAAATGGATATCCTTGGGACCCTGATCTGGAGGTGGCCCCAGTGTCCCGATTCCACACATGTTCACCACAAATTGTCCACTGGTTGCTAATCCTATTAAAAAATTAGGCGAAGGGATGTTGAGCTACACAGTGGTTCTCAGTGTGTGACAAGCTGCTGTGAAGATAAAAATGCACAGTCTAGGCCCTACCCCAGGCCTGCTGAATTAGTAACTCAGGGTGAGCTCATTAATGTGCATTCTAACCAGCCTTCCCAGGGTACATTAAAGGCGTACATTAAAGGCGGAGAATCGCTGAACTAGATTAAGACGCCCGTATTCTAGGCATTGTTTATGCAAGCAGGAGAGCTGGATTTCACATTTGGTATACTTTTGGAGAAGTAAGCTGATGGGTAAGGAGCTTGAGTTTTTTCAGAAAAGAATTTTAAAAAGCGTTCAGCCCAAGAGAGTTGTTTAAGGCACCTGGACCAGCTGTACCCAAGCAATATCCCTTTGTGAAAGTGAAAGGAGGATCAGGTGGCTTCCCTTGATGCGGGTATAGAACTCTCTCTCTCACACTCCCATCTGTGCTGACAACATGGTTGCAGCTTTAACAGCAGGAAAAGTTTTGGCTTCATATTAAGGAGAAGTTCTATCATGGAGGTTAAGAAGGCAGGCTCTGGAGGCAGACTTTGCTGGATTCAAATTCTGGTTCTGCCACTTTCTAACTAGGTGAGCATGGGCAAATTACTTACCTTCTCTGGGTCTATTTAATCATCTGTCAAATGTGGGACAGTATGGTTCTTAACACATGTGATTGCCATAAGAAAAGTATTGAGTACTTGAGTATTATGTACTTAGTACATAAACATCACTCAATAAATGATAGCTGTCACTTTGTATCATTGTTAAGAGAATAGGAAATACAGTGTGCTGGCCAACTGGATAAAGCAGAAGCAGAAGGTGTCCCAACTATACCATTTTTTTTTTTTTTTACCAATTTCAGTGATAAAGATTTTTTTTTTTTAAGTTAAACATAGAATTGCCATATGGTACAGCAATTCTACTTCTGGATACCTACCCAAAAGAATTGAAAGCAAGGACCCTGACAGATGCTTGAATACCCATGTTCACAGCAGCATTATTTACAATAGCCAAAAGTTGGAAACAACCCAAATGTCCATCAACAGATGAATGGAGAAGCAAAATCTGTATATCAAAATGGAACATTATTCAGTCTTCAAAAGGAGTGAAATTTGGATACATGCCATGGATGAACCTTAAAAAACATTATGCTAAGTGAAAGAAGCCAGACACAAAAGGACAAATATTGTATGGTTCTACTTAATAAGAGGTACCTAGAAGAGTCCAGTTCATAGAGACAAAAAGTAGACTACAGGTTACCAGGGACTGGGGGAACCTGGGACCCAAGTTTCGGTTTGGGATGATGAAAAAATTCTGGAGCTGGATGGTAGTCATAGTTGTACAACAGTATGAATGTACTTAATGTCGCTGAATGTATGCTTAAAAATGGTTAAAATGATAAGTTTTATATTATGTGTATTTGACCACAGTAAAAAAAAATTTTTTCACGCTATTGAGATTTGTCAGAACTGGCCTAATTTAATTGCAAAACTATCTGGTTGCTGGACTTTGAATTCAGTCTTTTTTGTTTTTCTTTATCACTGAGATAACCCTTGTCTTCAAATAATGTAGAACACTATAGTTAACAAGGCTACTGTGTATTTGAGAGTTGCTAAGAGTAGATCTTTAAAAAGCTCTTATCAGAGAAAAAAAAAAGTGTTAACTCAGTGAGGTGATGGATGTTAACTAAACTTATTGTGGTAATCATTTTGTAATATATACATACATCACATCATTATGTTATACACCTAAAATTAATACAGTGTTATAAGTCAATTTTATCTCAATAAAACTAGGGGGGAAATTATCCAAAAAATTATCACAAAAAAAAATAATGTAGACCATTATGGCTTTTAAACTTTAGAACTCTGAAGTCAAAAAGATATGCTGAACCACATCTTGAATTGGTGATTAACAGCAAAAACAAAAAAAGTCCTATTTCGGGGGAAAAAGTTCCCATTTGGCTTGGTGTACTGGTGGCCAAAATGAGGTCCAGTCTCCCAGCATTAGTGGAACACATCTCTTAGTAAGCCTTTTTAGCATTGATAAGCAAAGCACTATACTTACAAAATACTCTGAACCTTTTATCTTTTCTGATTCCTATAAAACTCAGTAACCTGTATAATTAGTATAACCTGTATAATTTACTGGTACTGCATCATGCAGCAGCAACAAGCTAAGAGCCGTTGTTTGACCTTGGTTCTCACTTCTCTTAAACTGTTAACCCACCCCTACACAGACGCTGATGTGTCTCCCACCCTGCATGCCTAACTCAGTGCCCAGCACATCAACTGAGCCAAATGATTAAATGAATTGATAGTATCATAATTTGAGATTGGACTAAAATTGTCCAAGGAAACATTCTCAGGATGAAATATGTTCGTTCTCAGCAGAGTCTGGCTTTGGAATTGTCATGGTATCTTTCACCCTTTGTGTACTTTTGATCAGGGATAGTCTCTAAATTGAGATCTGGTCACAGGGGCACTTTACCTCCAAAATGGCATCTGAAAAAGAAATGTCTTCAGAAGCTAAGGCATGCTGCATGGCTGCCGAGCTGAGAAAAAATAATCAGGTTGGAAACTGGTGTTCGCACTCTGAGATGCCATTTTCCCAAAGCGCAGGTGCTTATTTACAGTTTCAAGTGTTCACCGCCTTCTTCCTGGTGGGACTTTAGATCAGCTCTCTCATCTCGTATTTCAGCCAAGTAAAGTCTGGCCACATTCCTGCATGCCAACATGTATCTTTTTTTTTTTTTTTAAGATTCATTTATTTAGAGAGAGTGTGTGCACAAGTGTGAGCAGGGGTGGGGCAGAGGGAGAGAGAGAGAGAATCCCCAAGCAGACTCCCCACTGAGTGCAGAGCCTGATGCAGGGCTCCATCCCACGACCCTGAGATCACGACCTGAGCCCAAACCAAGGGTCAGATGATTAACCGACTGAGCCACCCCAGGGCCCCCCAACACGCACCATTAAAAACCAAAGACAAACTTCATACCCTAAAAAGCCTCTCTCTCCCTTCCCTACATTTCTCTCCCGTACCGCCCCCCCACCCCGAACATCAGCAAACGTCAGCCTCTGGATTTCCTCAACCCAATACACTAGATGCCTCTTTTATTGCATGTTGTGGCAGGAGAGAAGGATTAAATTACCGAGGCTGTCAGGAAGGACAAGCTCTCTGCCATACATTATCATTATCACTCACTTCTTGGGTGAGAGAAAATGCAGTAAATCCCTCAAATACAAAGCAATAAAGACCGCTGGCTTTTACTGTCATGACTGCCAGTGCCATTAACAGGCAGTGACAGCGATGTGGCACTCTTAGATGTTGCTTGTATCTTTTCTGACAGTGTGCACATAAACCTGCCCGTGACATGACATTAGATCACATGACTGCTCAGATTTGATTCTGGTTTCCAGAGCTGCTCTCTTTTCCCAGGCATACAAGTGAGGTGGCATGACTCGTGTCTCTAAAAACAGGTATTTATACAAATACAGAATGGTACTAATGTAGCATATTCCTCAGTGACTTCTTTCTGTGGATTTTTTTTTTTTTTTTTTTTGGTATAGTGATCTACGTGGATAAAGAAAACAACCAAGCAAAGAGAGACATCTTAAAAGCAATACTACTGAAACAAGAGCTGCCTTACAGAAGGTACATGTGAGCATTCTACATTATCGGATGGTTTATATAAAGTAGATCTCTGTAGCATGGTTGTGGTGAAAGAAAGCTCAAGATGCGGAATCAGAATTCTGATTCACCCTGTGTCCTTGAATGAGTAGGTTTCCTCTCGGTCTCTTTCCTCCTAGCAATAAAGTAGCCCTGCGTACCATACAGAGCAACTGTAAAGATCCGACAGTGCTTTGCAAACCAAAACACCATACAGTGTGTACTCAGTATCCCATTACTGTTCAAGTATAATGGTAAAGAGCATGACATGATTGCAAGGAGGGTGCGCTCTGGAGCCACATGGCTTGAGTATAAATTCTTGTTTCATCACTTACTAGCTGTCTGACCTTGGACAACTACCCTCTGCCTCATGTTCTTCATCTGTAAAATGGAGATAATACCAGATAGGGTGGTTGTGAGGATTCCACGAGATAACATATGCAGATGGCTAGAATAGTGCTGGACACAGAGTGCGCAATAAGCATTCATTGTCATCAATGTAAGTAGTAGTGATGTCAGTATTATTACTTGTACTAGCTCATCAGCCTTCCAGACTAATTTTACCTTACTATCATGGTTTAATTATTCATCATTTCATGTTATGTTTCATGCCTTTTTTTTTTTTTTGCAAATCTTAACAGAAGATTTTGCGATTCTAGTTCAGTAGAGAAATGATACCCTTTTAAGAAGGAAAACTCCTGATCTTAGTAACTTCCTGCTTTTGTGTGAGCTCCCATGTGTACAGTTTGAGGACTTATGTAAGGTGCTGCCCATCAGCCCATTTGCTAGCTCTCCTCCCTTGGCCAGGATGGGCCCTTTATCTCTCTGTTGTCTCTTTCTCCTTGCCTTTGTGGCCCATAGATGACACACTTAGTGCCTCAGAAATGGAGCTCGCCCCTGCCCACCTTAGAAAGAGGCTCAAGTTCTCCCCTTTCCTAGAGGGCATGAAGGGAAGGTTAAAGACATTCTATTTTTCTTTTCTTTTTTTTTTTAAGATTTTTTTTTTTTTATTTATTTGACAGAGCGAGAGAGCATAGGCAGGGGAATAGTAGAGGGAGAGGGAGAAGCAGGCGCCCTGCCAAGCAGGGAGCCCGATGCAGGGCTCAATCCCAGAACCCCAGGATCATGACCTGAGCCAAAGGCAGACACTTAACCATCTGAGCCACCCGGGCGCCCCTAAGATTTTATTTTTAAGTAATCTCTACACCCAGCATGGGGCTCAAACTCACAACCCTGAGACCAAGAGTCGCATGCTCCATTGACCAAGCCAACCAGGCTCCCCAAGACATTGTTTTTCAAAAGAGCTTGCAAACTAGCATTTGATCTTCTCTTTCAAGAAAGGAACTGGAATTCTTAGCTCTTAGGATCTGATAGTAGCTTTTTCATTAACTCCTTGAAATACATATATCAGTTCTTTGGATCTCAGTTCTGGAGAAGGGGTGCTAAAAACCCTGTTAATTAGCCTGAAGTTCTGTATTTCCCAGCATGGTAGATAATCATTCAAGTTTTACTTATTTACTCTGTATACTTGAGCTTCTTTGAAGGCCCCCTGAATGCCATCAGTGTTCTAGGGTTATCCCAGGGCACAAGTGATTACACAGCACTGACCATGTCATTGGTCAGTGCTGTGTAATGCCTCTCTGTGATCAGCAGGCTGGGTCGTTACTGTCCGGGACTGAGCTCTGTTCCCATGGACAAACCCTGGGCTAGACTTCCCAATCTTTCCAGTCTGATTTGTCTACCTCTGTGTTCATTTTGTTTCTGGAATGTTAGAACATATTATAAGTAGTACTCCTCATCAGGGGAGAGCAATTTTGTTGCCTCAAAAGTGTGTGTTTTGAAAAAGACAGGTTCTGCTTTAAATGTGTTTTTAAAAAGACAGGTTCTGCTTTAAATTTACATTTAAATGTAAATGCTCAGAAGACCTACCCCCTTGTAGCCGAATTGTCTTAAAAATTTTTTTAAGTCCACAGTAAACGTAATGACTTCCACTGACCCATCCCTGTTTCTCTAAAAATCTCTAAATGATCCCCAGAGATACAAATGTTCATGTCATTTTGAGAAAAACCAAGAGAGGCACTGGAGACGCAGAGGGACTGGCGCCAGGGGATGGGGTCCGAGGAAATGCCCGGACCACCACTGGCCACTGTGGCAGGAACGGGGCCATCACAGGAGAGAAGGGGCGTGCCTGCTTTTCTCCCTTGACAGTATCATTTTCTTCAGGAGAAAGGGGGAGTTTATGTTTACAAGTTTCCACAGCCAAAAGGGGGTTGTTATTCCAGTGAATGTTCTCACCTTTTGCAAATACTTACGGGTCCCATTACTTCACATTGTTTTAAAGTAGCTGCTAGTTTATAAGAATTCGCTTTCTCAGGCAGGACCACCCCCCCACACACACACCCCTTGAATATGGAGGCATGGAGGCAGCTTACAAAGTCACAGAGAAGTTTGGCCAGTCCTCCCTGACATACATACATTTGTGTACGTTGTATAACAAGTACATACAGTACCTTTGCACCTGGCCCTGGCCATATTTGCATGTATACAAGTGTCACCTTCAAGGGAGGTAACACCTTGAAGCAGGACTTAAAAATTATTTATTTGAAGTCATCATTTTGACACTGACTTAAGGTTCTCTTTTGGTTTCATTTCTTCTCTTTAACATGTTCTGTTGAGCAGATCCACCATAACCATCAGCACTCCGATATGTAAAACTCACAGGTAACCCTTAGGGTCTTCTATCCTGTTTTGTATGAAAAGGAATTATTTCAGAATGAGGAAAGAATCAAAAATGTTAAACGATTTAAGGAGTTTTAGTGCTTTCTGATTTCCTAAATAACAGCAAGTGACATTTGAGGTCTAAATCTTGATGCCCAGCCCAGGGCCTGCCTCCTCCAGTTGACCTGCTTCAAATGAGCCAGCCTTCAATAGGAGCGTCCGTTTTGCAGTTCGTGTAGTAATTCAACAATCTTTATGATCCCCTACATAAGTATCAGGAGCGAAATGCTTGACAAGGTGGAGTCCCTGCACTTACAGAGTTTCCGTCCCACTGAGGATGACAGACAACAACAAGTAAACAAATAAACCAATTACATTTTACAGTAAGTTGTTAAGAGAGGGTTAAACAAGTTGCTCACATAGAAAGTAACAGTGACGGCGGGCCTAAGGCAGTGACAGTAAGCTGGATAGTGAGGGGACGAGAGGACCCAGCCAGGTCGTGAACCATGCAAGGAGGATCATCGCAGGCAGAGGGAATGCGGGCCTGCAGGAAGACATAGAGGTCTGTGTCTAGGACCAAGGGAGGTCAGCAAGGGGAGAGTTCTGCAGGAGGGAAAGGGGAGAAGGGGAGGCAGGAGCAGCTCCCAGGGCACTTCCCGTTCCACCTGAAATCTACCCCACGTGTCTTCCCTGGTCCTCAGCCTGGACTGGAAGCCTCTTTAGGACACGGAACAAGCAGGATTTCCACCTCTTTGTTTGGTAGGCTTAAAGGGGAAACAGAAAATGTGTCTTATATCTTATGTGCAGTTTATCCTAAGCCAAATTGTAGTTTTTAGATTATTTGAGTGTACCTTCTTCCCTATTTAGCTAAACTTCATAATTTCTTAATTTCGTATTTGACATCTCATTTTGTTCTCTATAGAATTTAAAGCTAGGAATACTGAATTTTGGTTTTTAACCCTTTCCCTGGCATTTAGAAGGGTTTTTTTTTTCCTTTTTGTCTCAGAATTCTCATATGTTCAGTGGAGGTAATGGTCTGCATTTGTAAAGTGATAGAGATATGATCCTTAAATATGAGACATTATAGGAGGATAACACTTAACAATATTAGGACAATCTGCATAGCCTCTGTCTTTTCTGTAAGTCTTGTGGATGTAAAATGTGCATCAGATATCACTTGTAAGTCCTAGTCTTCCAAGCATATTCATTTTAGGACAATTACTTTTATCACCATTCTTCTTGTTTAACTGACTGATACAGTCATTGTATAATTTGGCAGTCTCAGTTTTCAATTGAAACAAGTCTTCCCCATGTCTTCGTTTTCTCTTCCATTAGAAATGTAGAAGCTTAAGCAGCTCTACCTAGATTAAAAATAATAGTAATAAAAGAGCAAACATTTCCTCGATGTTTAACATGTTCCAGGCACTGTTTACATGTATCATCTCATTTGATCCTCATAAGAGCCCTGTGAGACAGACATTCCCCTTCCCATTCTACAGATAAGAACAGAGAGGTTTGGTAATGTTTCTAACATTACACAGCTAATAGTAGAAGAGCTAAATTTGAACTCACAATGGATGCCCTTTAACCACTCCGTCTTAATCCCTTTGTTTTATGCATCATATAAAATACTCAGCCAGTTACAAATCAGGATCTGTATTCCTCACAATTATTGTGTGAATAGGTGTTGCATTTGGTTTCAATGGAAGGGATTTCTATTTTCTTTTCTTTTTTTTTTAAGATTTTATTTTATTTATTTGTCAGAGAGAGAGAGCACAAGCAGGGGGAGCGGCAGGCAGAAGGTGAAGCAGGCTCCCTGCTCAGCGGAGATGTGGGGCTTGATCCCAGGACACTGGAATCATGACCTGAGCCGAAGGCAGACGCTTAACCAACTGAGCCACCCAGGTGTCCTGGGATTTCTATTTTCTAATCAAAATTTATTGCTGGTTAAAAACAGGGACTTGGTAAAGGAATGAAATGTCGAATGCTTACTTTCAGCAAATTAGTTAAAAATACTATCATGTTTACCTGTGTTTGGAAAGGATTTTATTTGCATGTATTGTTCAAGGCATGATTTCTCACAGACTTAGATTTTCATCTCAAAATGTGATCTAAGAAACAAGTTTCATGTTTTGTTTCTGATTTGGGATGGCTACATTTTGAAAATGGTTAAAGTGGTAGTTTACAAGTATCCATGGTTTAAGCTCCACTGCCAAGACGTATCAAAAGAGTACTTAACTGTAAATTCCTGTCATTTGGTCAATCCAAGTGTGTTTGGCCTCGACACAAGCCACTAATTCAAATCAGTTCCATCGGAACCCTACAATTATGTGTCTAAAAGTAAAATAAAACTTGGATGCTAGGATTGTAAGTTAAAAGATTGCTGAAGTAGTACAAACATTCCGTGTAGCTGTTGGGCAGAGCTACAATATTTATCTAACGTGACTCAGAATGTTACTGGGGAGCATGGTCCCTGTATTTCATAGAACACAGAGGGTTGGATAAATTGCTTGGTAGCCACTCTGAAGTTGTACATTTCTACAGAAAATGTTGCATTTCTTTTGAAAACGGTGCCCTGATCTCCGTGGTCTTTATTCACGTGATCCTTTTAGCCTTAAAAGTAGATGTGTCACAATACGATCAGATAGTGTGTATTAGAGAGAACATCTGGTTATTCTCTTTGCCTAGTAATTTCCTCAGATTCTAGCGTTAAATGTTAATCAGTGCTTAGAAAAGTGGATTTATGTTCATTTGAAGGCTGGGCATGCTATAATAATTCTAGTAGTTCATGCAATAACTTATCTAACCTCATGTAATTTGCTTTTTATTGGAATAATTGGAAACTTTGAGATTTCATACTTAGTGATAAAACCCCATTTGGGAGCTGTGTTTCATGGTGACTTTTTTTCCTTACTTTGTGGGGATTTTCTCTTTTTTCCCTTCTCAGTGTTCGCTTCACGGTGGTCAGTGACCCTCCAGAGGATGAACAGGATCTGGAGTGCGAGGACATTGGCATTGCTAACATTGACCTTGCTGACATGTTTCAGGAAGGGAGAGACATCATCGAGCAAAATATCGATGGTATGGGTGGAAGTATTGCTCAATTTGTACAACAAATGCTGAAATCCAAATTCTTTATTAAAACCTTCTTTTTTGCTAGCTGCAGGGATATTGAGTCACACATTGGTTGAATCCTTTGCAACTCAAGCTTTTTTTTTTTTTTTTTTTGAAGCTGGAAGCTTTTCCCTCCCTCCCTTGCCCTCCCCCTCTGCCTTCCTTTCAATCAACAGAAATTTTAAAATAATGAATTGCACTTCACAAGGAATTACTCATTTTGTTAGTATTGGGGGTGAGTGTGTGACAAAAATGTGGCCATTGGATTTTTTTTTAATGTTGTTTGTGGAAGCTTCATGCTGTCAAGCCTTATTTCAACCAAGGCATGTTATTCTGAGTCATCATTATAGTGTCTTTTGTAAGGCTTCTCTTTAACTCAGTGTTACAATCCGGTGGTAGAGGCGCTGCAAATGACTCCAAGTCATAACGGTCACTTACTTCCTAGCAGGATTCAGAGAGGAGTAAAGGATTCCTGACAAAATGTACTCTCCTGGATTTTCACCTCAAAGGCATGAGTCCCATCAGGGCTTAGTTTCTACCCTCCAGATTCTCATATAATATATTTAGAACACGGTGAAGGAATTGTGCTTTCCAAATCAGACGTTTGACAGTCATCATGAGGATGGCCAGGGCTGTACACAATAAAGGGCCAATGAGGCTGAGGCCTAGTCGCATGTGTTAAGTTACCAGAGCCATCTCTGGAAAACTGTACGTGGCTTGTTTGCTCATTTATTCGTGCATTCACTGAACACTTACTTGAGCACCTCTTAAGTGCCAGACACTGTTACCCCATAGTTCGGCTGCGGTTCATATGTCTATCCTGTATATGTGTTACATGCTCACAAGTCAACATCAAGCCAGATAATTAACCAAATCGGAAACCTATCCTGGGAAATCTTTATAAACTATACATATCTAACTACGTGACAATCTGTCACAACTTTGTTTGGCACAGAAAAAGAAGATGAGAGGATTAAAATATTAACCTAAACCCTCTGAAAGACAACCAGAACCAAGAGAGTCTGAGAAAAGTGATGAAAATGATCTATGCTTTATATTCCTAATCTTTTCTCCAGTCAGTTCTGGTTAGCAGCCCATCGTCTCATTCTGAGAATCCACGTATGGCCACACTAATCTGTCACAGACAGCCTCTGTGGCCATGTTTTGAGAGAGAGTCAAAAAAATTAAACACTCAGGTGTCAGGTCAGGATTTTAATGCTGTGTTCTATGCCAGACAGAGCAGTGAGGAGTCCTGAAGAAGAGGTGTAAGGAAACTCGGGAATGAGCTGAGGACCACTCGTGCCCCGTGACCTCCCTGCCTGCTCAGGTCTCCACCTAAGTCTTTGTATACCAACTTGCATTTAAAGGTTTCCTTAAAAATATTTTGGAATTGTCATATCTTGATCCCTTCTAGACTTTATTTCTTCTAACTTAGAAATTCTGATCCTGTGCGGGAATCGTCATCCTGCAGCCTTGCCACGAGGTCAGCTTCAGGAGATATCATGAGTCTTGAGCTCCACGGGCAGTAAGGATGCACACACATAGTACACCTGAAATGTGTATCTTCCTACACACAGGACAGGCTTTAATTTACAGATTTCTGAGGTGCCAGTGAACTTTGGACTTTCATAGAGTCGTCTTCATGTTTGCAATTCCTGTTTCACGTAACCTCTCTGAAGAAAAATCTGTTAAATGATAGTAACACTTTTCTGCCATTTTTCTCCCTAGTCTTGGATGCACGGGCAGGTGGTGGACGTATCGGCAAGCTCAGGGTAACCGTCGAAGCGCTCCATGCCCTGCAATCTGTCTACGAGCAATACAGAGATGACTTGGAGGCTGAAAGAAGCTGCTCCGGAGGCATCTCCTGCTCCTGAGTAAACGCTCACATGAAAGCTCTGAGATGAGATTTCTGTAATTAGTCTGGTGTATATAATCTATAATTCATGGCACGCAGGGAGGGGGAGGCCTGAGTTGGTAGTGTTCAAGTTTTGTATACTTTTCCATTTGTTTATTTTTCTATTCCCTCCTTCCCATGACTGCCACCCCTCAGGACTTCAGTTCTCCACCATGGGCAGTACCTTCTCAATAATTTATACCTACATGATAGCATGAGAAAGTCTATTTGCATTTTCAACACTTCCTTATGAAGAACCGACATGCAATTCCCATTTTTATTTTTAATAAGCAAAAAGGATAAATCTTAGAAAACCTATGAAAAGAAATACTTTTATGTTATCCCTAATCGTCCCACTAAATGGAATGCCTATGATTAGCCTCATTAAGAGTTTTATACTGTGAAGATTTTATTAGAAGCAATATATGAAAATTACTTGGATTAATGTGTTAATCTTCCTCTTTAAAATGCTAATATCCATTTTATGCACATTAAACCTCAGTATGCATTTTCTTTGATGCATGCAGTTTCTATCAATTAAATATAAAGAATGAGACTTGGCACCGACTTATTAAATTACTGCAAGTTTTTGGTTTTCTTTCTTTAAAATCACACTTCTTCCCATTTGTATGATTTTTATGGATTTGTTATGGTGAAATGGGATCCAGGGATGTGTGTGTGTAAAGAGGAGATAGATAGATACATGTATGAATATACATGAAATTCATGTTTTGAAAACTTAGCTTATGACACAGAAGGAAATTATTTAAAGTATGGCTCAAATTCTGATATGCTTAGTTAGACCTGAAAGGAATATCTTTTTTATCATTTTTTAAATTTACATCAAGCTTGTACAATGGTGGGGTGTATCTGGATAACCAGATCCTCGAATAGCAGCTCAGAAAGTTAATTTTCTAGCTTTTACCCAATCTCACTGAAGGATTTAATTGATATTTTTAATGGAGCTGTGAATCAATGCTGCAAAGGAATTGTCTCTGGAGGTCTAGGATATAATGCATTTCATTTTTTAATTTACTTTTTTATTTGTCATTTTCTTCAAAGGATTTTTATAGGCTGTGGGTTTTCACTGTTTGCAAACAGGCTATGTTCCTTCTTAAGCATATGTAAAGTATTCAGGGAGATAAGTAATTTATTAAAATCTACCTAATTTGCCGTGATATATTAAATCTCTGCTTCAGTGATCACAGACCATTTCATTTAGAGAATTAGGCATTCCCTCTTTGTGTGATTAAAGCTCTGGAAAATGAGTTCTTTGCTCCTATTTGTGAACATTCAAAGCCTGCTAATGGCAAGAAGATGGAATAGATTATGAGACAATTCATTACAGTTCAACAGGGAAAAAAAGCAGCTATAATGCAAAAATGCAAGTATGAATATCTGCATATAGTTTGAACCATCTGTGCTCTAATGGCTTCAATAATGACTCTCGTCTTTAGGAGGCTTTGAAATGACATCCGTACAATATTAATTTGTTGATGTACATTGTGGGACCAGTAGAGTACGATCTGACCACAGAAATCTATAAATTCTGTCTCTACCATTGGGCCTCCCTGTCTGGGGCCCGCCATCTCCAAGAAGAATCTTGCTCTCATCAAACTCTGCAAATCTTCATAATAACTCATTCCTCTGGAACCTTCTAGAGACCACAAACATCTGCAGACTAAACCTCTCCAATCCTAGTAAACAGCCACATGTTTGTTGTCACTTCAGCTGGCTCTGAGCTCATCTTTTTGGCCTCTCTTTCTAGCTTTCTTTGGCTTCATGCAGTTACGGTGTCATTAAGGGCCATGATATTCCCTGCAGTAATTTAAAACAGCCGGATTATACCCTGGGATTAACTGAGTGGTTTGTGAGACATTTATTGTGGTATTCTCCCAGGAGGTTTGTATTATTGTTTTAAAACGTTACATCCCAAACTAAATACCCTTTCTGCAGGGAAAAGAACTGGATTGCGCTGACTTCTTACGATCTTTAAGTAGAGAGGGGGAGTTTTTATTAGGGAACTTCTGAGACCTCGTCAGCTGGGTGGAATGTATACCTCAGATACGATTAGAGAACTAGCCATGTTTCTGTCACATACATGTTTGCCGTAGAGATTATTAAAGATTCCTTTTCCAGTTTTAAAATAACTCACCTTCCAACTACGTAAATTCTTACAAGGCTCATTTTCTTAAGTAATAGAATAGCTGCCGACATATTTTGAAGTGGGTAAGTGGTATTGAATGCCATCATATGGATGCTTCCAAGTGGGTTTCATAGTCTGTTCGAGAACAGTTTTTTTATCCTGTTTTGTGCTGACCAGAGTTCATTGAAGAAGCTTCACCACCTTTTTGGACTACAGAGCAATGGTTTTCCCTTGGTACGCCAAGCCTGACCCATTAAGTATGGTGAGCGGGAGAGGGGGTGCTAACAGTGGCCTCCCCACAGAAATACCAGCTTAAGGCAAGGTTTCTGTGAACTTACAGCTCTTGGTGTAAATGTACACAGTACACTCAGCACTTTTAGGGGCTGTAATGCTTTTAGTTTGGAAATACAAATAGAGATGTGATGTGGTATGTGGGAGAGTGTATTTTACATGGTTTTTTGCCTACTGTAGTAGAAATGTCAAATTCCCAGCCACTGTCATGAGAAGCAGTTGACAAAAATAAGTTTTATGGTTTGCAGTGCGGTTTACATAGAGAACATTTCTCTTCACTCTCAATTTCAACATGTTTTCTAAATTATCATGGTTTATTGCCATTTAAGTTAAATTAGTTTTTTTAAGAATAAATAGAGAATATATTTAATCAAATAAAGAACAGCCACATTGAAATTCTGCTGTTCCTGCCGTTCATTTGTTACCACAAAACACAAATACTTTCTACGTGTTATGAAGAAGTGTGGGCTCAGAAGTGGTCATATGACTTGGGAGGTTCTGCGTGTTCCCACAACAAAACATAAATTATTTTAGTAATCTGACATCAAGCTCTGACAATGAAAACCACTTCTTACACATGTTCTAACAAGAATCTGATTAACATTTTTGTGGATATGGAAAATAACTTTTTTTAGTCAAACTGCCACCATTGCTGAATTTAGAATGAATTCCTTATTCACTAGATAGCAAAATGTGAATCATGTCTGTGGACAAATATGAGAATAAAATGCCATCTTTGTGTAGTACAAAACAACCAGGGGAGAGCTCCGGGGATATCAAATTACCGAGTGATTGACAATATCAGGATCATAATTCATCCCCAACTATGAGAGTACATTTCAATAAGTCACTCATGCCTGAAGGCCTCTGACTACCTTAACAAAGAAAAACTAAACCCATGATTTATTATAGATTGGACAACATGCCTAATTTGATCCATGAATGGGAGCAAACAGCTTTACATCCCCTTTGTTCAGAACAAAAACAACCTCCAGGTCAACCAGAAAACTAAAAAGATAGCAAAGCTATAGAAACAAGTGTTTTAAAAACTGAAAATACAGAATTAGAAAGCATCCCTCATCCTAATCTCTTTTATCTTGCAAGATTTTTTGGTTCCATTTCGAAGCGCCACTAGTGGACTGTACCTTACAGTCTAACCTCCTGGAAAATGGGGCCCATGTTCCTGGTATTGTTACGCCTTCTGTTCTTACCCTCTCATTTTCCATATAACATCGACTTATATCTTTAAACCATGTTTCTCCTTCAGTTTTTCTGAAGTAAAAATCTGGTTCAGAGTTAGAATGTGGCCTCTTTTCTGTGGTGGACACCAACAGGCCTGTCTTCTGCCTTATGCCCCTTCTCACTCTCTGTCGAGAGTGACCTTTCTCATCCCTGTAACGGCATTACCCCTCTCTTCACTGAACACCGTTAGTTTTCTTTGTAAGGCAAATTCGCTATCTTGACCTTTCTACTTCTGTCATCTATTCTGTTTACACCTATATTCAACTGAACATTTCCTCCCACCTAGACTCATTTTTAGTCAGTCACGGCACATTTTTCTCCCTTCTCTTCTCTTGGTGCCACAACTACTTTAGATACCAGCATTGGTGCCAGCTCCATTGGCATTCCCAAAATCTGCCTTTGTGTGAAGCCTTTTTCTTAATTTAACATGACGGGGGGGGCGCCTGGGTGGCTCAGTCGTTAAGCGTCTGCCTTCGGCTCAGGTCATGATCCCAGGGTCCTGGGATCGAGCCCCACATCGGGCTCCCTGCTCCACGGAGAGCCTGCTTCTCCCTCTCCCACTCCCCCTGCTTGTGTTCCCTCTCTCGCTGTGTCTCTCTCTGTCAAATAAATAAAATATTAAAAAAAAAAAAAAACATGACAGGGGCACTGCTAGTCAGCCATTATGAAACTGAGGAAACAGCAAGCTAATCTGTGTATCTTTGCTTTTTGTAGTGAAGCAACAGAGGCTGGAACTCACAAAGCTCTCAGGAATCACTGGTAAGGAGCTGAAGCGTAAGGAGTTGTTTTTTAAGGAAATGTGTAATTAAAATCAAGCTTTATTCGGCGTAAATGTGTTTTGTCCTAGTTACACATGCTATCATAACAGTAGGAGAAATTGGGTGATTTTAAGAAGAAAACTGAAGAGACCACACACAACCCAAGATGAGGGAGCCCTTTCGAACCAAGAGAGCAAAGACAGCCTATAAAACGAGATAGATGTCTTACGTTAACACTGAAACAAGGTAACAGGCAAAATAGAATTCAAGGTGGAAAACAAGGGACAAAGAAAGGACAATTTATACTGGTTCAAGTTCATTAGAATTGAACATAAATACACCTAACAGAATAGCCTCAAAGTACACGATGCAACAACTTGACAGAACTATGGACAAAACATTATGGCCACATCAGTTTTACCAGGTTTTAATTGTGATAGATAAAAAAAAAATTAAGTCTAGAAGATGTGCTTACTAGGTTTACTAAACTCAAGCAAATATAGAATGCCCATGAAACATTAAAAAAAAAAATTCAACCATGTACCCAGCCACAAAGGAAGCCTCAATTTCCAAAGAATTGAAATCTTGTAGACTGTTTCTCGAAGCAAACTACAGTACAATTAGAAAATAGCAAAAAGATAACTAAAAAATAACACTATCTAAAAGTTAAAAATATGTGTTACTATTCTGGGTTCTAATAGGACAGGAAATTACCCACTCCTACTATATAACTAGGAGAAAGAAAATTCTACAAACTTCACTTCACATGTAAGTAGGGGAAATAAACATCAGCTCAGAAGCCCACACCAGAGGGGGAGTAAGGCAAGGGTTAAACATGAGAGAGTGTGACAGGATTCTAGTGGCAGTAGAACACAGGTAACACCAACTCAAGTTCCCTCAGTAGGACAAAGGCCATGCTGAGTGGGGAAATGCTGAGAACAGGTCTGAGGCCTGGTGGGGCAGAGTTATTGACTGCTGGAGAAATGAAAGAAAGGGGCTTGGAAAGTGCATAGAACCAGAGGTGGTAACCTTAGGAAGACACCTGGAAGAGAAGAAGACACTTTGAAAGGGGAGGTATCCTTGGAAACACAGTAGTGAAAGAAAGAACCAGCTGAAACTATGGGCCCCGGTGGAACAAGATAGTATCATTCAATGGTATCATTCTCATTAAAAGACCCTTTATTAAAGAAACTTCACTGCAGCAAAAGAAGAGGATACTCTTGAGCTGAGAAACCCTGTCAGCTACCCAAACCTCTTCCCCACCTATATGATTATCCCTCCTGGCCTGTCTAGGAAAATCAAAAACAAGTTTTACTTAAACTCTCCTGTATCCATATTGCATAAGAAAATAAAATAAGAAAACTTTTTGGCAGGTTGGAGTTCTACCCTAGGAATGATGAGTTTGATAGTTTGGACCAGCATCCCTTTTGAGAATAACTAGAAAATCTGACTTTATACACACACTCGTATTATACATGAAGCATTTGAAAACATCAAAATGCTACCAGTGACCTAGGCTGTAAGGAATCACAGGAACAAGATCTGGGAACAGAGGGAAGCCCAGAGGGCGAGCCAGACATTAAAGCTCATTTGCTTCTAGAGGCATCTGCCAATTTAAAAACATGGGTGCAAAGCTGAACAGAGCTTTCAACAGACTCATTGGGCTTTGAAGAACAAAAATTAGAAATTTAGAGTCCACCAAAGACTAGAATTTAGACCCCCAGTAATTCCTTCAGGCTCAAATTATCCTTGCATTTCTTTATGTACAATGTTTGGTCCACATTAAAAAATAACTAGGCACATGAGGAGACAAGACCATGTGACTGAAGACTAAGACAACAGACAAGTGAAACTCCCACAAGTAACTCAGAAAATGAAGTCATCATCTATGAACCTCTAAAAACAATGCCAAATATGTTAATAGAGTTAGCCTGGTTGGCTCAGGGTGTTAAGTGTCTGCCTTTGGCTCAGGTCCTGATTCCAGTGTCCTGGGACTGAGCCCCACCCGGGATTTTCTGCTCAGTGGCGAGTCTGCTTCTCCCTCTCCCTTAGCCCTTTCCCCTACTCATGCTTGTTCTCTCTCAAAATAAAGTCTTTTTAAAAATGTTAATAGAGTTAAAGGCAATCTTGAGAAATTTGACATAGAATTGGATGTTATCGAAAGAAAACAACTGGAAATATTATAAATGAATGTAGACTATAATTACAATAAATGAAATTAAGAATTCACCAGGTGGATCTAACAGCAAATCAGGCACAATTGAAAAGTGACTTACTGAACTGTAAAAAAAATATATTTTATTAAAAAATATCCATTCTGGGGCACCTGGGTGGCTCAGTCACTTATGTGTCTGACTCTTGATTTCGGCTCAGGTCATGATCTCAGGATTGTCAGATCAAGCCCCACATTGGGCTCCCCACTCAGCATGGAGTCTGCTTGAGATTTCTCTCTCCCTCTGCCTCTGCCCCTCCCCACTATGTCCTTGTGCACTTTTTCTCTCTCTAAAAATAAATCTTTTAAAAAATATATCCATTCTGAGGCATGAAAAGTAACAAAAAAGGGGGGGTGTATTAAAAGACATGGGATTGTGTGGAAAGTTATACTATACAGTTATACTTAATAACTGAAGACCCAGGAGAGGAAAAAGGGCATTAGAATCAATATTCCAAAAGATAATAATTAAGACTTTTTCAGAATACATATAAGGCACAGTTACAAGAACGACCTCATTATGCCCAGGCTGGGTAAGCACAAAGAAAACCACTTAAGGCACATTCTATAAAAATTGCTGAAAATCAGACAAAAAAACTCTTAAAAGCAGTCAGAGACATAAGACAACACTAAGACTGAGAGCTGACTTAACTGAAACAGTGGAAGCCATTAGGAAATAGTATGAAACCCTTCTTGGGCGCTACCTCAGATCCTCCTCCTTCATCTTTTATTCACAAACAAGGGAGTCAACACCCCAGAGAACTTGACCAATGGGAGCCAGGAACTAATGCATAAATAATAATAAACTAATGCATAAATACTCCCCCTGTCCATCCCTCTGAAGTGCATTCTGCTGGTTCCAGCAGGATCAAGCCCCATCCCTCACAGAGGTGATCATCTTGATAACCCAACTTTGCTTTGGCTTTTCTGTTTTATTTCTCCCAGTCTGTCCTTTCTGGGATCATTTCCCAAATAATGTTCCCACATGCAAGTCCTTGTTTCAGCCCTGCCTTTGGGGAACCCAGGCTAAAAGTAAGTACCAGGAGTGGCCCTAGAAAGCAGAACAGTAGGATCGGACTCGGAAACTATGGGTCACTCACCAGATGGCAAAAAGGATGACATTATTTACAGAAAATGGTACAGTACCCCTGGCATGTGGTAGATTCTTAATGATGGTGGATTAAGGTAAGTGCAGGGGGAAAGTGAAATATCAGGTTATCAGCTACCTACTTTCCTGAATGTATGTTATACTTCCATTTTTTTTTAAAGTTGAAGAAAAACTTCAGTAGATGAAAAACCCCAGAAGGAATCAAGAAAACCAGCCCTGATGCAAAAGAAAATATAATACCATATTCCAACATGAGCTAATTATAATTAAAGAAGCATTTGCAGATGGGGGGAGAAAACATAGATCAAGAATTTAAAAACTCAAAATAGAAACTGACAAACTGGAACTAATGGGAACTGACATTGGGAAAGAAAAGAAAAATTAACCTTGAGATGGCTAAATTATAAGGTACCTAAGAGAAATACCAGTGAAAGCCAACAATAGAAGATAATGGGTAGAAATGAAAGGAGCCAGGAATATGAAATGAAAGAAAGAGGCAAAAAGAATCTGTGAGAAAATGATAGATAAAATAGACGAACATAAGTATAGAGATGCTGAAGAGAAAACAGTGCAATAGGACAAACTTACAATACTATAATTCAAGAAAGCTCTCCTGAAATAAAAGAAGACCTGAGTCTACATATTGAAATGGCCCACCATGTAGGAAAATTGCTTCAAAACAGCCAACTCTGAAACATATCTTAATAAAACAACTAGACATTCAAGTCAAAATCAAGAAAAAAATAATCTGGTCCTCTTGGCCAAAAGAACAAGTCTTTTATAAAGAAAATGAAGTCAGGTTGGCATTAGATTTCTCAAGAGCAGCTTGGGAAGCTAGGCAGTGGTCAAATAGTCTTACCAAAAACTCAGATACAAGTCTGAACCAAGGATTTTTTTTTTATCCAACTCGGATAATCTTTCAAATATGAAGGCTATTGAAAAACAATTTTTACTATGGTGAAATTCATATAACATGAAATTGTTTTAAAGGGAACAACTGAGTGGCATTTAGTACATTCACAATATTGTTCTATCTAGTTCTAAAACACTTCATCTCTCCAAAACAAAACCCTGTATACATTCAGCATTTATACTCTATCATCCCCTTCCCCAGCCCTTGGCAACTGCAATCTGCTTTCTGTTCCTATGGATTTGCCTATTTGGGATATGTCACATAAATGGAACCCTACAATATGTGACCTGTGTCTGCCTTCTTTCACTTAGCATACTGTTTTTCTAGGTTTATCCACATTGTAGCATATATCAGTACTTCATTCCCATTTATGGCTGAATAATACTCCATTGAATGCATAACCAAAATTTGTTTATCCACGCACCCACTGATGGACATTTGGGTTGTTTCTACCTTTGGACTACTTCGAGTAGTGCTGCTATGAACATTTTGGTACAAGGATTTGATTGATTACCTGTTTCAACTCTTTTAGGTGTATATCTAGAAGTGGGTCATGGGATAATTCGATGTTTAAATTTTGGGGATATACCAAATTGTTTTCTATAAGAACTGAACAATTTTACCTTCACACTAGCGATGTACAAGGGTTCCAATTTCCTCACTTCCCTGCAAAACGTGTTATTTTCCTTGTTCCATTTTTAATAGTCATTCC